ATCATATATATATATATACTCAAAATACTCGGTGACTAAAGTCACCGTACACTGAGATATGATATTATTCGTATATTTAAGTCTGTATATAATGTGCACGCGTGTGTGTAAATATATGTTGTGGAGTGTATGCGTTGGATGTACAAAATTTGGTGGGGGGGGAGGGGAGTGTGTGTTGTAATGGGTGTGTGAAATTTTGAGAAAAAAATACATTCCATAAATTCAAAAGCCTAATTAATTTAGTATATATATGTGTGTGCGCGCGTGCACGTCGCAATGAGGTAGATGGTCCTTACCTTTGAAACTCATGAGCTCCGTTATTAAACTGGTCTTCTTCCAGCCAGGATCAAGAGGGAGGTGGTTGCTTCATGTGGAGCCCCCACATGATCTTGGGGGTGATCTGCTGGTCCCTCTATGTGATGGCTATGCCATTATTTGTGGTTCGTAGTTGAATAGGTAACCTAGCTAGGTAGATCCATAGGATAGGATAGCCATCCCATTCCCGATATAAGAAAAAAAACTACAATATATTTGTACGAGATAGATACTTCGGATAAACTATTTTTATTTTTTTGGGTCGCAGAATCTTGTGCTTAAAAACACTCTGCAATACCAAATAGCAATTTATTTTTTTTAATTACGTAATTTAAAATTTAAATTAAAAGAGTGCAAATTGGTTCATACAAATTGGGTTGTGTATGATTTATATATGGCAATATGGCACGGACCACCACAAATGTAAATGAATCGCATATGAATTTTAATTATTTTGACATGATACAATTTTAATATGAAATGAAGAAAAAATTCAAAAATTGAAGTTTGGGCTACATAACTCACATATGCATATAAGATTGTTTTTACATTTAAACTAAAATTTATAATATTATTTGAAACTAATTTATTAATCTTATTCATTAACATAATCACTCTTTATCATTGGATTGATCGTGGGTGTCACAATTAGTTAAGACCCGCTACTAATTTAATTGTCATGATGCATTAGATCAGCAAACAAAGTCAGTGAATTCAATCTAAATAACATTTTTGTTTTTCTATAATATGAACTCATTAGATCAAATTATAACCCATCACACCCTTTTAATTTCCCCCCACTACTCTTAGATAAAACAAAATATGCATCTCCAATATCTACTTCTCTCGATCCCAAGGTAGTTCAAGTGGTAACAATAGCGAGTTATAAATCTAGACATTTTGAATCGAATCACTGTAGTCCCTTGAGCTAGACCATGAGGGATTATTCCTCATGAATACCCTATTTCATGCATAGATGATCTATTTTTAACCAAACTGGGAAGAAAGTTATTCGATGTACGTGTAAACTTGTTCAAACATTCCAGACCGTTGAATCAAAAAAAATATATCGATTCCTCTCAATACATGCATAAACACACAATTATACAAGAGCTCATCGGTACACAAAAAAAAAATAGTTCAAAAATCCCATCAATGTCGAGTTTGGGGAAGAGTGAGAATATTTTTGAGAGTTTGGGGAAGAGTGAGAATATTTTCATGACTCGAATATTCAACGGTTATATGGTCCCGAGCATACTGAATGCAAGGCCTCTAATTTCAAACTTACTGAGATGAGGCACGAGGTGTGTGCATTCGGAGGGACTCAAATGCTATTAATTGAAAATGACTTGCCAACAACTTTTTTTTGGGTTCCACAAGGTGGGCTTGTCGCAAATTGAATGTGACTAACTCGTTTGGCCATTACCGGCTTCACCATGGAGAGTCGCTATCGTATTTAATGTCTACAACGTCGATAATAATTATTATAGCCATAGGCGGGAGAAAATATTAAATGCTTATCAAGTATCAGGTTGTCAGTGATCTGGTACTCATCACCAATCAATGAATGTCACCTCATATTCTGTTATTAACAGGTATCAGATTATCATTGACAGCTGATACTCATCACCAATCAAGAGATGTCACCTCAATATAGGTTGTCCTTCAATTTTTCTCTCTTCACTGTCTACCTTGAGGTGACATTCATTGATTGATGATGAATACCAATTGTCATTGACAGTNTAGGTTGTCCTTCAATTTTTCTCTCTCCACTGTCTACCTTGAGGTGACATTCATTGATTGATGATGAGTACCAATTGTCATTGACAACCTAGTACCTAATAAGCACTGAATATTTTCTCTATAGGCGGTGGCAGAGCTAGGATTCTTTGTTAGAGAGGATAAATTATGACGAGAGAAATTCAATGGTTGATACATTAAAATTTTAAGTTCGAGTATTACAAATTATGTAAATATTCAAGACTAAATTGCTATTAAAACAACAAAATATAGTTCTTATTAGTCTAATCAAAACTTGAGCGAAAAAGATACGAAAAAAATCCGCAAGATATTTTAACTCAAGCACATATTAAAGTGGAACACAATATTCTTCTGAACATTATGATAAAATTATCCTCATTTTGTTGTGAAACCTAGGTGAGATCCATCCTCCATCTTATTGAAAAATTGCTATTAAAATACTTTTCGGTTAGAGGACGAGCTACTAACTTATAGAAAAATTATTGAGAGCTACTATACAATTGTTCTTAAAAAAGATGGAATAATTTATTAGATGGAAGAGATTTATCTCAAAGTACCAACCTTGTCCAATAACCATTCTGAGTGAGTGTGTGAGACAAAACAAATGGACTACAAACTGGGTAAAAATAACCATTCTGAGTGAGTGTGTGAGACAAAACAAATGGACTACAAACTGGGTAAAAATAAGAAGTATATGACTACTATAAAAACTTTCAAAAAGTTGGGGGCCAAAATATGAAAATGGACAAAGTGTTTTACATGGCAAGTGCCCCCTAGTCCAAAGGTGGATCCGCCCCTAATTATGGCTCCCCGACAATTAGAATTTCATGACTTCACACTCGTGGTTAGTACTATTTTTTGGGCCAAGACAAAGATACATCCAGGGAATGTCTACGTAAAGTTTAATATAAAAAAAATACATTTTATGAAATTTTTAAACGAATGTCAAATATTAGACTTTAGTCAGATAGAATTGCTCCAACTTAGTAAGTCTATTAAAATGAATAAATTCTTACAAATCGAAAGACTAGGTACTCAAAAGACTCCCCCAATAATCCATTTGATTTGATTTTGTGCAATTGATAAATGGTTTATGTTAATTAGGATTGTTACCTTTGTTTTTATTGCCCAAAGAGGGTGGTGATCAATCTTTCTTGAGATGGACCACCCTCCTCCATGCCATTCAAAGACTAGTATGTCTTTTGTATATATACATTTTAATAGTGTTGTAAAGAATTTCCTAATTTCTCATCACCTTATAAAAGGGGGGGAAAGGAGGAGGATCTGATAAGCACCAAGATTCCTCCTACCTTTTATTAAAGGCTTCTCATTTCCATCATTTCAATTTCCTTTCCATAAGTTTAAGGAACCAGGTTCTCACCTTACCCACCAAAAAAAAAAAAAAAAGAATAATGAAAGTGTGAGGAATCAACCATCTTTTGCCTTTTTGCCATATTGTGGTGTAAAATTCACACTGTAAGGGGTAGAACCCTCCACTCAGGATTTCGGCTTGACCTGGGTTAACCCACNCCATCATTTCAATTTCCTTTCCATAAGTTTAAGGAACCAGGTTCTCACCTTACCCACCANGATTTGATTTTGTGCAATTGATAAATGGTTTATGTTAATTAGGATTGTTACCTTTGTTTTTATTGCCCAAAGAGGGTGGTGATCAATCTTTCTTGAGATGGACCACCCTCCTCCATGCCATTCAAAGACTAGTATGTCTTTTGTATATATACATTTTAATAGTGTTGTAAAGAATTTCCTAATTTCTCATCACCTTATAAAAGGGGGGGAAAGGAGGAGGATCTGATAAGCACCAAGATTCCTCCTACCTTTTATTAAAGGCTTCTCATTTCCCATCATTTCAATTTCCTTTCCATAAGTTTAAGGAACCAGGTTCTCACCTTACCCACCAAAAAAAAAAAAAAAGAATAATGAAAGTGTGAGGAATCAACCATCTTTTGCCTTTTGGCCATATTGTGGTGTAAAATTCACACTTTGTACTTTATTTTCTTTTGGGTTTCTGCTGTGGTGTGTGGGTAAGTTTTTCTTTCTTTTTTCTACTTGGGTTTTTCTACTAACTCAACAAAATATTGTTTCAATATGTTTTGGTTCGGCTACATGAATCATATTTCACCATCGTGCTCTATCAAATGTCATATTTTCTATTATATCATAAGTTATTATATCTTTCTTCAATATTTTATTTAAAACTAATTTTAACTTTCTTCACCCCTACGTTTACCGTCAATAACTATCATATCACTCTTTTCACCGGTGTCATAGCACTTCATCCAAACTACCTAAGTTAATTATCCCTTAATTTACCTTTTATATATGTTATATCTATTTTTTTATCGATATATTCTTTCTTAATTCTATTTTTCTAGTTTTGCTACACATCTATCTTAACATTTTCATTTCTAACACACTCAACTTCAACACTCGGTACGATAAAACATAAAAGATAGTCAAGGTTTTCCTATTTTTTTAGCCATGATTTTTGTCTCTCGTATTGCCTCTCATTTCGAGACTATATGGAAGGTCACAATTTTCAAATTAATCATTGTCACACCTTTCAAACTAATCTTTGTCATAATTAATTTCCTTCATGGCTGTCCATGTGGCTTGTACATAGGAGTTTGCTCTGTAGATTCAAGGAAAAAAAAATCACAATCAAGTAATTCAAGGAATTATGTTAAATCTTTGTCTAAGTAAGCAAGCACCTAGTATATATATATATAGNGGCTGTCCATGTGGCTTGTACATAGGAGTTTGCTCTGTAGATTCAAGGAAAAAAAAAATCACAATCAAGTAATTCAAGGAATTATGTTAAATCTTTGTCTAAGTAAGCAAGCACCTAGTGTATATATATATAGACACACACACACACACACACATACACACACAGAAAAAGTCTTTTATATAAAAATTGGTCCAAATTAATCACATTCCAGTTGATTTATAAGAAAGACATTTAGATCTTGACAATTTCATTTTCTTCTCATATATTAGCTGCTTCTCAGTGGTTGAATACAATTAGATACATATCTTCATCGTTCCCCTTGATAGTGATTTGACTGTGATGGGCTGCTTGTTGGCTGTGTGGTTTGGTTGACTTGTCGGTAGAGGGCTACCATCTTGTTGTACAGATCTATATTCATGGACTGTTGGAAGAAGAAGAAGAAGAAGAATCAATCAGTCAAAACAATCTGAGATATACAAAATCAAATAATTTTTGGATTCGACAACTGATAAGGGTATGCATAAATAGATTTTGATAGGAAAAATCTATGATACTAACTCGATATCATATCGGAAAAACATGAGACAAGTTATGATTCAATTATGTCAATTTATGACTAGGGATGGAGTTAGAATTTCCCAATTGTGGGGAGAGGGAGAATCAAGAGTTGGAAAAAGATACTTTGATGGATTATTAGGGATTATATTGAAAATATCCAAACCTATAGGGGCCAACCTAATATTTTTAATAAATAACACGAAATTTAGAGGGTTAAAAGATAAATGTAGAAAACCTAGGGGGCCATGGCCTCCGGTCATAAGGTGGTTCCACCACTGATTACAATTCAATAAGATAAAAGTTATTACTCAATGGAATTTAAAAATTAGTATGGATTTTACGAGGTTTCATAATTTCGCTCTATTGAGGTATCACTTGACTTGTTTAAGTCACAATCTGATATGATTGGGTCAAATTCAAAGGTAGTAATTGGTGCAATCTCTTACTTGTGCTAGAAACGCGCAATATGGATCACTGAAAGGCACCGGAGAGCTGGTAGTGGCACCAGCTGTCGCTTGAGCCGGAGAGCGAGCTGGGATCATCGGCGGTACGACAAAGGGAGGTGGAACAAAGGCGGTCGAGGCAGCGGCAACGGGGTGGTTTGGGTGGATGAGGGCAGGAGGGAGAGACTGAGCCACAGGTCTTGCCACATTGGTCATGTCAAGCATGTCCATGCCCACCCCGAACCCGACCCCCATGCCCATTCGGGCTAGGAGAGACATTTGGAGTTGTTGCTGCATTCCTAAAGGCATCATCATTTGGGGCATGTTTCTTACAGTGTTCATCATTTGAACTTGTGCTTGAAGTTGTTTCAAGTACTCGATCACCTCATCCAACATTGAAGCTTTGTCAGTCTGCAAATTCACAAGCATGAAATTATAAGAAAACTAACACATTAAAAAAGCAGTCGGTGCATAAGGCACCCGTTATTACATTGTTAGCGAGAAAGACTATTTCTACGACACAAACCGATAGAGCGCAACCATGAGGTTATTGGTTCAAGATTATGCACCATCTTTAAAAATAAATAAATAAATAACAGGACATATATAGTACTTTACTCACTTTACATGCATTTGGCACCAGCTTCTGCAGAGCTTTGATCTTCTGATTGATCCTATCTCTGCGTCTCTACATGAATATCATATGAACTCTCAATCATTATTGTGTTTATATGGTACTAATATTGGATCACAACAATGTAGCTCAAATACCATACATAGTAGCGGTCCACTAATTATGAATAGTGGGTCTCATTTAAATTTATGATGGATGTTTTACTATCGAAAGAAAAAGTGAATCGGAGAAGATGTTACTCTTGTATTCTTGTAATTTAGAAGTGTTGCATGGTGCAAATATAGATGAAAATGCATATTTAGAGAGAAAACAATCAAGAATAATAAAATACATGAGATTTACGTGGTTCAATAGAAATTTTATTTTCATTCACGAGAACGGTTATTTTGATATATCAAAATCCCCATAGAGTTAACTTATTTAAAAGTACCATTTAATAACCCTAACGTCGAATTAGAAAACTTATTTTCAGTAAATGTCATACACATAATCTTGGTCTAATAATTTTTGGATTTAGTGAATACGAGTCATCCACTATTCCCAACATAGTGCTTACCCGCTCCGACTGGTTATGAACAGCAGCTGCACGACTTCGTCTTGTTGAGTGGGAGCGGACTGTATCCCCTTTGGTCTCATGTTCTTCGTCCCGGTTTTCCTGCTAACAATGACATGAAATGTTTGAAAGTGGGACAACTTTTTTAAAAAAAAAAAAAAAAAAATTCTTCTAAATTGATAGTTCCAACTGTAATTTTCTAATTCTATGATATCGTGTACAGTTCTTGCCAGGAGGGTATTACACGGGTGATGAATGTCAATATATTGATGTACCCATGAATTTGTTAAGCAACCGACTGCTCTAAAAATTTAAACTAGTAGAGAAAAGTTTAAATTAATGGTGTAATTTAAGTATTTTTACACATAAAATCTCCTGTTTTGATACCGTTTAAAATCGACTAAAATTACGGTGAAATAGAAATTTTTACCGAGCCATCAAGATCACAAGCTGAATCCTCATCAGTGGTTTTAGTCTTCAAGCTCGGAGGAGGAGATTCAAAGGAAGCCCAAGTCATCAAAGTTGCATCCTTTTCCCTAACAAAATTGGCACTAGCACTAGCACAAGCGCTACGGTCTCCTCGCTCCTCTTGAGCAACGCTACTGCTGAAATTTCTCCCACACCGATCAGATTCCGACCCAACACGACCTTTTTTCACCATACCTCGATCCATTTGCAGGTGGCTCGAGCTCTTGCCCCGTTTCCCGCCTGAAGATGCAACGATGGAGCTTATATTGGTCGGGTTCTGGTCGTGTCGGGTTGAATTTAGGTTGTGGTTATGGTATGTAGCTTGATTGATAAGGGACTCTAGTGTGTCCCCTGTGGCACCCCATGTGGGCTTTGTTGGGACAGTGGGAATATTGATCCCACCATGGCCGTGCATGGCTAGCTTGCCATTTTCCCATGTCAGCTCTGCAACTTCATAATTTGACCTGAAAATTTCAAATATATATATTTGTGTGTGAATAAAGCCCAGTTGGATTAAATCATAAACATAGAAAAAATAGCTACTTGTTCTTATCATTAGTGACAAGTAACAAAATTAAGTCAGAAGAAAGTTATCACGGTTTATGAACTAGTGCACGAGTCTCCTCTCATTACAAATTGAAGAAAGTCACAAGCAATCTATTGTGCTTGCCAATAGACTGTTTTGTTTTTGTGACTCCAATCTTTGAAGCCCAAGGCACAATTGAGCAATACAATACAATAATACAAATTGTTGAAATGAGAAGATATTTAGTTATTTACGATAGGAAAACTTAAGCATGTACGAATGACTGAAGATTACATGAAACTAGAAGGTGAACTTATCACAAATTCAAGTTCACTTTTTTTTTTTTTTATCTGAGGGCTGATATAGTGGAAGATGAAGAGAACAAATTAAGAAATAGAGAGGAATTTTGAGAAAAAGCAGGGCAGAACAGACGGCATTAATCTTTCAAATACATTACAGTTAACAAACAGGCATTTCTCAAATCACTAAGATAGAGTACAGAAAGATTGACTCCAAAGAGTAGTTAAAATATATCATGTGTGTGCAAATGACCTGAGAAGAAAGAGTAACAGTTAACTGCAGCATGGATTTTTATTTTTTTGTCCTGNACAGTTAACAAACAGGCATTTCTCAAATCACTAAGATAGAGTACAGAAAGATTGACTCCAAAGAGTAGTTAAAATATATCATGTGTGTGCAAATGACCTGAGAAGAAAGAGTAACAGTTAACTGCAGCATGGATTTTTTTTTTTTTTCCTAGTGGGGTGGGGAGGAGGGGGTTCGTTCTCTTTTTGCCCTTTTGATGGGTGTACAAAGCTGATGAGAATCATGAGATTCTGTCATCAAAGAGGAACTACATTAAGCAGAAAGGGGGAGAGCGAGAGAGAGAGAGCATGAGATAAAAACACAGAAAAAACTCATAGGATGACTTGAGAAAAGTGCATACATAGGGACAAATACAAGACTGGGATTATTCTGCTGGTTGAGCACGTGAGAAGATCTGTTTCCCTCTTCTTCTACTTGCTGTTCTTGTCTTTGGTGCCTTAGATTCCATTTGGGTACCATACACTGACTCATGAGCCTTGGCTTTGATTCTCTCTCTCTCTCTCTCTCTCCAATGAACAGAAGTGGAGTGTTATGCTCTCTTATTTCCTTCTCTCCTGGTCCCTCGTCCTCCTGGATGTCATATGGATCGATAGATACTACACAGAAAACATGTGGTAGCTGAAAGAGAGTGAGAGAGAAGTGGATATGTATTGGCCTGTAGCTATGTGTCCATTCAAGGGTAATTATGTCTTTTCGTTCTCTTAGAATTGAAGTGNCCCTCGTCCTCCTGGATGTCATATGGATCGATAGATACTACACAGAAAACATGTGGTAGCTGAAAGAGAGTGAGAGAGAAGTGGATATGTATTGGCCTGTAGCTGTGTCCATTCAAGGGTAATTATGTCTTTTCGTTCTCTTAGAATTGAGGTGCCACTCATCCCACGGCCGAAAGCCCGCACAAGAGTAGTTTAGCGTTGTGGATGTATGAATTAAGGCTTGTACGCCGACATAAATTCAAATATTATAGGAATTGACTTTCGTCGTTGACTATGAGATTTAATCAGTACCTGTGATTTATTAGTAATTCTACATATTTGTATTTTAGTCCGTAGACTTGATTGGATTCTAACTTACATGTTAACGGCACAACTCAAACCCAACTTATAAACATTCCGAGGGTGTTTGGATTGTATTTGAAAAATAGTATTTAAAAATTATTTATAAGAAAAAAAAAATTTATTAGAAAAATAATAATAAAACCTATTTAAACTCAAATTTCAACTCAATAATTAAACTTGAATTTCGACTCAAGTTGAGAATATCAAGTTAAAAAATCTAAGTGTATAAGCAAATCAAANCCACTCATCCCACGGCCGAAAGCCCGCACAAGAGTAGTTTAGCGTTGTGGATGTATGAATTAAGGCTTGTACGCCGACATAAATTCAAATATTATAGGAATTGACTTTCGTCGTTGACTATGAGATTTAATCAGTACCTGTGATTTATTAGTAATTCTACATATTTGTATTTTAGTCCGTAGACTTGATTGGATTCTAACTTACATGTTAACGGCACAACTCAAACCCAACTTATAAACATTCCGAGGGTGTTTGGATTGTATTTGAAAAATAGTATTTAAAAATTATTTATAAGAAAAAAAAATTTAAAAATAATTATTAGAAAAAAAATTATAAAACCTATTTAAACTCAAATTTCAACTCAATAATTAAACTTGAATTTCGACTCAAGTTGAGAATATCAAGTTAAAAAATCTAAGTGTATAAGCAAATCAAAAGGTTCAAGTTGAAAGTCGTGTTCTTCTTTTTTTTTGCTGGTTAAAAAACGGGTGAGAGTAAAGNTAAACTCAAATTTCAACTCAATAATTAAACTTGAATTTCGACTCAAGTTGAGAATATCAAGTTAAAAAATCTAAGTGTATAAGCAAATCAAAAGGTTCAAGTTGAAAGTCGTGTTCTTTTTTTTTTGCTGGTTAAAAAACGGGTGAGAGTAAATAAGAGCGTTCAACAATCACTTCGATAAGTCCTCACCGATGAGATCATAAGACTCATAACCGTGTCTGGAACACTTCTCAAAACCAAATCTAGTTAGACTGATATAACGGTCAACCACCAAATCTCAATAAAAATTTTAAGACTTAAACTCTCAATTTCAATGTGAAGAATAAGGTTGGCACCCCATTAGACCGCCCTACTTAGGGGAAGTTGAAAGTTGTATTCTATTAAATGTTTAACACCCGGTTGAAATAGAAACTATTCAGAAAAAATAAAAATATAAAAAAAAAAAAAGCAAATAGCAAGATGTTTTTTTTTTCTTTTATATCAAATTAGACAATTCTACCCACTTCCACGACATTGACTTTAATGTCTCAACCATCGCACTTAATGTTGTTCGTCGGCCGATGTGGTTTTTTTTGGTGAAGTTTTACTTGCCTCTCTTAAATTCTCTTCTCTTATTCTCGGTTTAATAAGATAAAAAAATAAAAGAACAAAAAATTAAAAAGATAGAAAGTTATAGGAATAAATAAAATATCATATTTTGTAAGGNCAATTCTACCCACTTCCACGACATTGACTTTAATGTCTCAACCATCGCACTTAATGTTGTTCGTCGGCCGATGTGGTTTTTTTTGGTGAAGTTTTACTTGCCTCTCTCAAATTCTCTTCTCTTATTCTCGGTTTAATAAGATAAAAAAAATAAAAGAACAAAAAATTAAAAAGATAGAAAGTTATAGGAATAAATAAAATATCATATTTTGTAAGGAAAAAAAAATAGAAATGATGAAAAAGTAAATTAATGAACTTTTTTTCTAATTCACCAAAATTAATTCCTTTGGAATTAAAAAGAAAATGAGTGAAAAATTAATTATTTGTGTTAATATATATTTTATTTATTGATATATACATTAATTTTATATATAAATATAATGGTAAAATATGAATTTATATATTTTTAAAAAAAAAAATATTATTTCTATCTTACCAAACACAAAAAAAAAATTAATTATTTTTATTTTTCATTCATACTACCAAATACAAAAGAAGGAAAGTCAATAATTCATATTTTCTTTCCTTAAAAAATATTTCTTCTATTTTTTATTCTTTCTATCGAATGGAGTATTACTTTCCTGCCCAAGTGCAATCTACTTTTCATTCTTTCTATCGAACGGAATATTACTTTCCTGCCCAAGTGCAAAACAACTGCTCGCAAAATANTTAATTTTATATATAAATATAATGGTAAAATATGAATTTATATATTTTTAAAAAAAATAAAAAATATTTTTTCTATCTTACCAAACACAAAAAAAAAATTAATTATTTTTATTTTTCATTCATACTACCAAATACAAAAGAAAGAAAGTCAATAATTCATATTTTCTTTCCTTAAAAAATATTTCTTCTACTTTTCATTCTTTCTACCGAATGGAGTATTACTTTCCTGCCCAAGTGCAATCTACTTTTCATTCTTTCTACCGAACGGAATATTACTTTCCTGCCCAAGTGCAAAACAACTGCTCGCAAAATAAGTGATGGGACTCTTCTGAAAAGCCTATGATGAAGACACGTGTCCTCGGGGGTTTCTAGAACAATGTTGCTCGGGTTCAAGCACCATCGGCAAAAGCGTCCTCTCCCCCGAGGTACCTCTCATATAGGATCACATATTCGGTGCATTATACAAAGACACGTANCGTGCAGGATCAAGCCCGCACAATAAGTAAACCCTCTCGTTTTACAATTTAATAAATAACACATTAGACAACTCGAACCCAATACATCATACGCTAAATTTATTTATTGCCAGCTTCTTCGCTTACGGGTCTGATTGAACTGAACTACTAGGAACCCATTGCGGGCCGCAGCGTAGAGGCCTCCAGTTGAGCTGTGAATGGTCCTCTGTGGACACCACTTACTATCACAAATCATTTTCATTTTTTTATAATATTTTTCATTTGGAAATTTGTTTACATTATATTTTAATTTATAAAACGATGGGACACGTTGTCATTTTGGATTTTGCATTTTATGAAAATTGTGAAAATAATGTGCTGAAAATTTTGGTGTCATCATTGTTATAAAGTTATGTGATCTGTCATCAAAAGCCCTTTTAAAAAAAAGGGTAAATTATACTCGTGCTCTCTAACATTTGACTAAATAACATAAAATTCCTTGACATTTCTAAAATGACACGACGACACCTTATCGGCGCCAATAGATGATCGGCGTTAGAAGAAGTGATAAAATAAATATATAATAAAAAATATATATTACAAAAAAAATAAATTAATTAATGAGTCNTTCTAAAATGACACGACGACACCTTATCGGCGCCAATAGATGATCGGCGTTAGAAGAAGTGATAAAATAAATATATAATAAAAAATATATATTACAAAAAAAAAAAAAAAATTAATGAGTCAAAAAAAAATACCTCTCTCCCCTCACATCTCACTCATACCTTAATTCACCCGAAAACTACCATCACTCCGATCCTCTCAGTCTCTCTCGTTCTTTGAAAATTGCAACTCCTCCTCCTCCTCCTCCTCCTCCTCCTCCTCTCTCTCTCTCTCTCTCTCTCTCTCTCACACAGATCCCCCAAGGTCCCTACCCCATACCTGCAACACGTCACCGCACTCAGCCCTCCCAACACAGTTGCCANCCTCTCTCTCTCTCTCTCTCTCTCTCTCTCTCTCTCTCTCTCTCTCTCTCACAGATCCCCCAAGGTCCCTACCCCATACCTGCAACACGTCACCGCACTCAGCCCTCCCAACACAGTTGCCACCACCACCACCATTCCAAACTCACCACTCACAACCCCCTTCTCTCCCTCTATCTTAGGCCCCCACCCCCACCCCGCAATAAACCTCAGATCTAAAAACTCTATTACCCCTCTCTCTAGATTTGTAAAACCCACATGAATGGGTGAGTCGCCACGCCAACCTTGAATTGATTTGGTGGTTAATTTTTTGTGGTTCAAATTTGGTGGTGAAACAGTGGGTGGTAGGGGTAAAGATGACGAAGAAGATTAGGTATCACACCCTCACCCCGAATCACATAGAATGGGCAGCGGACTGGCCACCAAAGCCTTAACCAACCAACTTTGTGCATAATAAATGCAAAAATATAGCAGAAGATAAATAATAATGTAATTTATTCTACTGACCTAATGAATACCAGAGGAATAAACTAAATATCATCAACATCATTACTAAATCCTTGTAAAACAATAATTAAATCGTAAGGTTCACTACTCTAATCATAAGCAATATTGTTCCCAAATCAATTAAACATTTGCCTCAAAAGTATAAAAGATATTTATTTCTGAAAACCTACAATAAAAGAAATTTATAAGTCTTCTAATCCCTTGTATATCTGCAGACTTATTCCTCACCCTGATCCTCTCCTAAAAAATGTTAAATATTTGGATGAGCACAAAGACCCGTGATTAACAACCACCTCTAATGAGGTGTAAAAATAAATCTCACAGTTTATACAAAAAAATAAATTTTGATACATACATAAGTACAACAAATTGTACCACAATCCCTCCTACATAATCATATAAACAAAATGATTTCTTGATCATAAATAAC